TTAGTATTAAATAACAAACTATTTCATATGCTGAATTTCAGTTGTCAGACTCTATTATTTAATTGGAATTATAAGACTTTTCAGGAGATGTTGATCCTTTTAGAAAAGAGCATAATATCATTACTCCTAATTTATATCGAATTTTGAATACATCAATAGTTGATAAGCCAATCCCATTATTTAGTAGTGAAGATAGGCCATTTACAATTTCGATTGATAATGGCACTATTGTTTAAATCACGATTCTGTTGGAATTGATAATCAAATTTAGATGACCCACTTGTTACTTGCTTTAGAAAGCTGTTCTAACTTGGCTGCTTTGTCTGGAAGCTATTGCGCTGATTAAAATGTAATAATGAGTATTTAACAAAATTTCATGGGTTTTTATTCCTTTTAAATTAGATTAGAATATTTAATATTAAAAACTCAATTAATAATTAAAACCTTTGCTAAATTATATGCTTAATTTTTATAATTAGTTTTAGCCATCTTTAAAAAGATTATCTGAATTCAAAATAACAAATATTTAGAAATAATAATTTTAAAATTAATGATATGAAATCACAAAATAATCCATTCTATCATCACCTTTTTGAATACCCGTTATTCATATTATATTGCAATATATTTTAAGAAAATATTACCTAAACAATTGATCCAACATAAACTAGAATTTAACCTAGCTTTGGTAATGTTTTGCTTTCATTAACTGAAATATTATCAATTCTAAATAAATAACAACCAAAACTCTTTAATTCATGCTTCTGTTTTGACATCTAGCTAACAGCCTGAAAAGTGAAAAAATTATCAACAGGTTAATGAATTTACTCATAATTGTTTAAGAAATAACAGTAATTATTATTATTAAATAATATCCATCATCGACAACAATTTCTTACTATTTAAGCAAAACCTTATGAATGTAAAGTTCTAGATAATCGAATGCTGTATAATATTGCTTTTCTATTTCTTCTAATTCTCCTATAGAATACTTAAGTTAATTTAATAACAATGAATTTAAACATTGTTTGGATGTATAAAAAGGTAGGTATAAAATAATATATATATTAATATTAAGATACATACAATAATGTCAGAAATACAAACTTAATATGAAAGCAAAGTAAATAGCATATGAGAGGAATCGGGGAAGGAATCCGTTTAGTTATTTGTAACATTATTGTTAACTTAAAGTTTGCATTTTACAAATTGGATGTTGTTATATTCCAAAGGTTGGTTTGAGCATTATATCTGTAACAAGTTTCCATAGTCAATATAGTTGGCAAGATTTCTTAACAAATGTTTTTTTGACTTTAGCACAAAAAAGACACGATTTTTCATCAAAACTGGGATGAGGAGTACAACCATTTTTATATAGTAAGAAAGACATGTATGAGGTATATATTACTTCTTTGCAGCAGATGTGAATCGTTTAATAAGTAGATAATTATCTTTAAATTTACAAGACACTTGTTGAACCCACTAACAATATGTGGAGTTTGAGAGACAGACATCTTTCTCATTATCTGCGTATGAACATAATGTGAATAGTTTGCAGACAACATCATATGCTTTTGAAGCGTTAGGACATTACCCATCTATGCCTCCTGAAGCACATGCAACTTTTGTAGTGTAAGATGAACAGTATTTAATATCAATACACATTGATTTTGAAATGAATTTTTTTATGCAGAATCGAAGGCTGACTTACAGATTTCAGAGGTTATGCCTTTTAGCATCTTCATTACACTGTCTAGATTAACACTATCCAAAGGAGTTTCTGAATTGCCTTTACATGTACCATCCATTAGTGCTGAGAATGTCTAACACGTTATATTGTTGCCATTAAAATCCCTACATTTAGCAGGATTTCTGATGCAATTTTTTTTGACCATTACTAACTCAAAGAAGAGTCAAAATATCTTGAATCAACACTTTTGGAAATTCTAGTTCTCATTATTCATTTGTAATACCCTTATTCAACCCTTACCATTTGTTACACACAGTCAGTTTTAAAATACGAGCATTGAATTTCACTATTATAAGTCATGTTATCAGAAAATTTTCAAAAGATCTGCATTTTGACAATTCAGTATAATTAGTTATGCTTGATTAATATAAATATTAGTAGCATCCCATGAACTGAACTCTGTTTATGTTTTCGACGCATATCCTTGAAATTTGAACATTTATTTCTGGTTCCTTTATCTCTTTATTGGTTTAGGATTTCTTAGTTTTATCAAATTCTCTTGTAGAATCTCAACTTGACTATTGCTCTCCAAAATGAATAAAACTTATATTATGAAGAATAAAGAGTTTTCAAAATCTTGCCACTTTAGAAAGCAATTAAAACTCTCTAAATATCTCTCTTTGGAATGACTGAGATTCTCTCTAATCATTTTAAGTTTTTATCTCTATTAATAAATAAAATATAGGAGACCAGATATTTTTCTAAACAAAACTACATTCAAATCTAATTGTTAATCAGGTATTATCAAATTTGGCTTACATAACAGCTCCAAGATCAATATCACTCTTAAGTAGGAGTCACTAAAATTGTATCCTTTAAGATGGAGAGTAACACTAAAAGAGTATAATTTAAGTACATCCCTTTTTTTGTAATTATAACAACAAAAATTAATAAATATAGAGTGTGTATTATTAATCTTATATACTGATACGAATATGATAATGCTTCATAACTTTTATAGTTGGCCTTTAATATAAACATTCTAAGCCAAACCCATTTCCAATGCAACAAAATAAAATTTAGCTTCTGATTTTCTTTATAATTCTAATAATGAATCAGCTAAAATTAAATTAAATTTTAATTTACCTTTATATTTTAATCTAAGAGCATTAGTTTTATTTTAAGGGCTTGTTCAAATTTTGAAGTGCATCCATATTTTCTCTAATTTTTGTATTTTTAAGTATTTTGGACTAAAGAACTAGAATGAAACCTGAATAAAAATAAATTTACCTTTCTATTCGAACGCCAAATCATTTTTAGGGTTAAGTGACATTACTTCAGCATAATATTCAATTGCTTCTTAGCATTGATTCAAACAGGTTATATTGCTTCTTTATATTTTTTCAAATTGTATAAAGCATAATCTATGTATAAATATTTAATAATTAATTACCCTTATTTTTCCTAAGAGTATCAGATTATGAGTTAATAGATATTGCTTCATTGTAACATTCAATTGCTTTCTTAACATTAATTCAATTTTACTAATACAATTCCTAATTATCATAATTGAACAAAGTATTTACCTTTCCTATTCCATGCATCAGCAAATTTAGGGTTAATAGAAATGGCTTACTTGAAATACTCAATTGCTTCATTATATTGATAC